AGTGCATCTGCCAACCAAGGAATATCGTCATCGACAACCACTCCCCGCATCTGCTTACCTACTTAATCAATTTCGTGTACCCAGAGCTCCCTTCCAATCCCATCAATTTGCTACCATCATGCCTTGCTTTAAGTGCCATTTGGCGCCAAATAACGACGCCGTCGGTTCGGTCAACGCCATGGTACTAGAACAAGTGCCGGTAGCTCAGTTAACTGACCAGCGCATTTAAATGTCTGCCGATAATGACGAAGCTCTCAAAAACGAGGTACGAGTTGCATCAACAAACGACGACGATCGGCTGCGAGAAGAAGCAGCTAGCAACTACCCCGTTGAGACCTCGACTCCATCAATATCGCTGGCTTCACTTCTCACCGTCTCAAGCTCAAGGTTAACGCTAGTGTCATAAGTGTCATGCTTTTGCGTAACTTGTGCCAACGTCGCGGTTTCTGCAACGGAACGCGACTCATGGCGCGGGCATTGCGTAACCTGTGCATTCAGGCTACGATATTGGCTGGCGCGCAAGCTGGCGATGTCGTTCTCATCAACGACAGTCCGCACAACACGCTGCCTTTCCAACTCAAGCGCTTACAGTTCCTAGGTTGACTCGTAATTGCGATGACTATAGACAAGTCACAGGGTCAGACGGTACCTAAATTTGGCGTCTATCTAGGGAACTAGTTTTCGCGCGCGGACAGCTCCCGTCGCGATGTCTTGCGTTCAAGCGCGTGTCATCAGCAAAATCTCCGCTCTCAACTCAAAGTCGAGTGTCGACGGACGCACGACACCAAAGACATCGTATTCCAAAACGTACCTGACGATACCGACCAGGCCATACCAGACACTACGCTGCCATATATAGGGGCTTACAAACACGAGCTTAGCTGCATGATAACCATTGCACAAACTACAACACCGCAAAAAGTGTGGCCATAAGGCCACTGGGCTTACCCTAGTGGGTTTAGCGAAAGCAAATAGGATGACACTCGGTTCCTAGCTTTGCGGTAGGCATGGCGTCACCATGCCAACTAGAACAACCGCGAAGCGTTAAAATGAGCGAAGCGAGGCCACGTGGCGACAGAGACAAGCGCAGCGAGTTTGCCACACCGGTACCGACTGTGACGCACAAGAACAAGCTCTAGCGGACAAGGAGAAGCAGAAGAAGAGTCCCGTTCTCAGCATCGAGACTTTCTCCGAAAACACATAAATGTTTTCCAAAGCACATAACCCTCTCTACCCAAAAAACCCTCTAGCGGGCTACGATGTATGTCTAGTAGACATACATCGTAGGAAGCTCGAGCACACTCTTGGCCGCTTTAAGACGAAGCCAAAAATGGTATGGACATGTAGTCACAGGGCTCTCCCTAGTACTAACCTTAAAGAAAATTGGCCGTAGCGTAGCTGAGTGATTCGGGCCGGACGCGCGTAGCGTGTCTTTGGTTTGCTCGCGCAGTTGACCGACAGCGAAGCGGTCCGACGAGAGAAGCGAGTCTACGACTCTGCGCAAAGCACGTGCCGCCCAGTGGCAAATAAGTGCGCAGCGAGTATGCGCACGAGGTGTGGATCTGTGAGCCACATGCCACGTGAGTTTCGTGACCTCTTTTCTTTGTCACGCTGTTGGTTTTGGTCAGCCTTTCAAGCCCTCTTGCGCAGTGGGACGAGTTTGTACAAGCGCTCTGCTTACTACGCGCAACCGTATGCTCGAAGTCCTACGATCGCGAGTTCCTACTGAGATTTCACGAGGGCTTCGCTACCGCCAACCCGCAGCAGCGCGCTGTTTTCGCTGCCGTATGCTGCGAGCTCGACCTGCCTCAAAGCCAACGAAGACGCCAATTTTTCTTTTTGTCGAAGGCGGCTCTAGAAAGAGCTGTGTATCTAAATTTCTGCTTGCGTGGTGTCAGTCCAACGAACGCGTCGTGATTGTGTGACGGGAGGGCCACGGGGCTCACCCTGGTCTGGTTACATTTCCAAATCCATTCATTTTCCTAGGCATGCCGCTGCTGTGGTATTCCGTTGGTGAAGCTGATGAGGAACGACGGGGACTGCGAACACATGGACGTCAGTGGGGATGAACTCCACGCACGACAATTATATGACTGAGTGGTGGTCGGCGATGCTCGCCTCTACCAGTTTTGTGCTGACTGCAGGAGAAGTCGGCATCACATAACCCATCCGGTTTTGGCCCCTGATTCAATTCTAGTTTCGTAGTAGAGTCGGGTAAAATCAAGGCACGAGAAGTGTCATCGACAAACTTGACGGGACGCTCCCGTCACTCCTCGACAAGTTGTATATCGTGTCTATGAACGTTTCGCGTCATGTTACCATACGGTCATGTAATACAATGCGCTCTTTTCGGTGGGCACAAGAGCTTTGGCTTCACCAGCTCCTCGCATGCGTCGTCGTCGTCAGCGACGATGCTTCAGCAAATACTCTCTGGCGGCTGCTGGAGCTACGAGCGCAAGACGACCACTGTCCCGCCCTCCCAGGATGATCGCGCACAGAAAAACACACGTCGTAGATAGTGTGGTAAATCCTACTTGGCCAATGATTGCCTACAATAATGGTCGGATCCGAAATGAGTGCTGACGGCAGTCCCCTTCCCATGGAACCGAAGCCCTCAATCTGATACAGTTTGGGCGACTCCGTTATACAGTAGCTCTCGATCGTAGGGCAGAGTACCTGTTTAAACTCTGTGCAACATCAATCTCGTCTCGTATCGTCAGCGGGCACTAGACACGACGAGGTGACGCTTGCCGACGCCGTCATCGAAACTGTAGTGCTGTGTTCACAGTACATGCTGTAGCAACCTCGCCATCGGATACCGCACTACCGGTACGCTTACCAGCACCAGAGTGGTCGGCATCCGACAGGCAAGCTGGCGAGTGGGATTTTGCTGATTGAGGGTTTGCATAGGAAGAAAACACTTCGTGGTTTCGAATATAGCGCACTTCAAGCTCACGCCTGGTACTGAGCCCCGAGCGCCCATCACCACGCATTGTATTGCGTCGGGCAAGCCGCGACCCCACGCCTCGATGCCGTGTACTTCGAGTACGGCATACACCAAGCGACGAACCGCCTCACATGATTGGGTTGGTGGTGTACAGGCGTCTCGAGACCAGATGCAAGTCGAGCAACACGGTAATGGACAAAGCCTCGAGCTAGAATCGTACATCGGCTCGTGGTTGCAGCATGCGCTGACTTGTCGACATATAGAGTGTCGTCGTCACGCATTGGGCCCACGCCCGATGGCAGTTGCGATTGCGCCCGGCTAAGCGAAAGCTAATGCGCTTTACAATGCCACCTGCAAGCACAAGCTCAATGCAGGCCGAGCGCTTGATGCGTTAGAACGTCGTGTTGACGGACCAGCGATCGCAATCAATACGTACCTTAATACTCCTTGTCAGGCGGTGTATTACCGGGATTACCACTATGGGTTTTTCTTTTCTATGTGGTCCATCGTCAAGCTACTTGATCGACCAGCAGCGTCCGCGGTCGTGAGCCAGACCCGCGTTGCGGAGTTCCACTTGGATGCGACCGTGGACCGACCTGGAGCTGCAGCACCTGAAGGTACACAGGGGGTGCTCACAAGAACTCGCGGGCTAGTGGAAGTCGTTGGTTTGGCGACCGACGCGAAATATCGGGTGGTCTGATGTTGATGCAGGTTGAATGCTCGTGGTGCCGACACTGGTCGAGTTGTTTTGTTTTGGCGTCTTGGTCGGTCGTCGTACATGAAAGTGTTTTCTTTTTGGCGAAATATCGGGTGGTCTGATGTTGATGCAGGTTGAATGCTCGTGGTGCCGACACTGGTCGAGTTGTTTTGTTTTGGCGTCTTGGTCGGTCGTCGTACATGAAAGTGTTTTCTTTTGGCGCTGGGCTTGTTGACTTGTTTTTCGTTCTGGATGCGTGGAGCTGGGCGGTTGACTGGATGCTTTTGTTTCGTTTGGCGGCGTGGCGCGTTGGATTTGAATTCTTTGTTTGGGTCGATGTCTTAGTTTTCGGGGTTGGATGATATGGATCTTGATGCTGAAGGTTAATGGTTGATGGCGTTGGCGGTGGCGGTGGCGGCGGCGGCTGGCTGATTAGTGCTCTTTGCTCTGTGCTCGGTGCTCATGTTGGTTCTGTGTTGGATCTGATGTTGGTTGTGGTCCCCCTGTCCGTTGTTTTTGTTGTTGTCTGGCTGGAGCATGTCGTCGTCTTCCTCGGATATGTCGTCTTGTACAGCGTGGCGATGAGTTCCTCATCGCTCCGCGTCGCTTGGTCTGATGGCGCGGCTCGCAGCAGGCGAAGGCGTCGACTGACGAGGCCTCCTTCTGCCGCGGCCTGGATGACCGACGGCCGCGCCTCGGAGGACGCGGCCACTCGTCGGTTGGTTTCGCTTGCGGAACGGCTGGAAACGGAGGACGCGGCCACTCGTCGGTTGGTTTCGCTTGCGGAACGGCTGGAAAAACGCAGAATACGTACCTTAATACTCCTTTGCCGCGTTGCGATTTTCCGTGTGCATGCGCAGCGGATGCCAGCAAAAGTATGCTATTTTTCTATCGATGTGGACCCACGACAAAGACCGCACTGTGTCGACTTGGTCGAGACCGGAGCACGCCCTCGCTCGACAAGATGATAGCATGGTATGCACGAAACGGTATCTCGTGAATAGACTGCTGTAGATAGTTCAAAATGTACGGCAATCATGATGACGCGCTCATGAATATACGCTCCATGCGGGCGGCTCCTCACTCCTCACTCCACACTCGAGCCAGATCGGTCCCGATAAAGAATTAGGGGTGAATATTAACCATGTACCGCTGATGAGAACGGCGTGGGGATCGTGCCGAGTGAGCTTGTTGTGCGTCATATGCGAAATTGAAGAATTGTGGGCAGGATCGGGAATAAAAAGGAGTATAAGTATTAGTATTTACACAGTATCCGCAAGAATTTAATACAAACGCTGCTACACTCTTTAAAGTGGATTGGTCGAGATTTACCAACTCCCACGAGGGTGTTGAAGTATGCTGCGGGCGCTTTTGCGGACTGGACGTCGCCGCGCCTTTGGGACGATGACGACGATTGAGAAGACGCCACTTGGTACTGTCACGAGCTACTACGACAGCCAATCTGGCCAGCACGTCCGCTACTCGGATGCTATCCAGGTCCACGGTCTCCAGCTTCCAGCCCCAGGCGTCAAGGGCCTTGCCTCCGTTACGTTGACGACGCCGATTGACGTGCCAGCCGCCGTCGCCACGCACATGTACCTCACCTCAAACATTGCGCCCCACGCGCTGGCACTTCGCGTCTCATGCGCGGCCTCACGTCGCGAGTGGGACGATGCCATTGCCATCGCCGCCGGTGCGACGTCTCTAGCCCGACCCGTCAAAAGTCACGCTGCTCGACCCATTTTGCTGGCAACCCGTACGATGTGCAGCTCTTGGGCTCGCTTCTTGCGGACGCCGGTGTGACCGTGCTGACTCTGAACACCGGAAGTGAAAACGACGCGGACTTGTTGGAAGAAGTCTTTGAAGCTCTCACGTGGAGTGACGTCGTGGGACTGCCCATGAAGCAACGCATCGGCTTGCGCTCTCTCGACTCGGATCTT